TTTTTTTTTTGTGTGTACCTGTCTTGGGGCTTGATCTCAAGGAATGGGCTCAGTCCATTTTGGACTTTTTAATGGTTAACTACAGATAAGAGTCTCACCTATGTTCCTGCCTGGGCTGAGTTTGAACCTTGATTGTCAGGCTTCAGCTTTCTGAGTAGCTAGAATTACATGAACCACTGATGCCTGGCATAGGGTGTCTTTTAAAAGGTAATTCTTAGAAGTGAGGACTAGCCACAAAGGTATTCTTATGAGAGTCCTGTCTTCTCCAAGACAGGAGGAGACATCTCAATAGCAAACACTGGATTGAAAAGCCCTGCAGAAAAACTGCTTCAGAATTATGTTGCTATACATGCCAACACTTTTTTTTTAACAGTTCTATGTATATGTCTAACATATGGAATCATATTTATTGTAGGGATGTAAATGTTTTTCTAGGAACGAGTGATTGTTAATGGTACAGGTCAGAAAAATGACAATGAAAGATCCCTCGATGATTGCAAATGAGATACTCTTTTCTGGAAACTGGTGGGAGGGGAGGGGAGAAAATGATGATTTGGGAGAGGTGGTAGGGTGACTATTATGAAACTACATCACTTATATGAATGAAAATAACTCATTGAAACCCATGAGTAACTGTGCAAAAATGTGAGCGGAGAGAGTAAAAAGGGTTAAAAAGAAGGAGGAACTATTTATAAAATAATATAAAAGTATTTATTTCCACATTCACCCTTCACACACACATTGCATTTGGTACATGCTGACTGTTCATCTTTTCTCTCCATGTATGTGAATGTTTCCTTTAATTCAGCAACTGAACCTCAAGCTATTTCAACTAGAAACATAGCAAAGTCTATGAGAGCAACTAGGAAAATGCTGACATTTTAATATAGGAAATGAAGACTAAGAAATCAAAGTTATGTAATTGGTGATACCACAGAGATCATGCAAATACTGTTCTCCCAGGAAGGAGTTTTTTCCATGTTTGGAATCCATGACAACAGAGTTCCACAGCCTCCTCTCTGTTTCCATGCCCATGTCTCTCAGATATAAAAGCAAGCAAGGGACATCATTTGGTTCCAATGAATGAGCATTAAGTTGAGATCATGGTATGAATAATGATTTGATACTCTCCTGTGTTGTCAGCAAAATTTTCTTTGAGTCCTCATTTAGAAAAGACTCACTCTAAGATTTGCTGCTCTCATCTGTTCAATATTAGATTACAACTAGTTGTGGGTTTTGTTTTTTTTTAACAATTCTACCATTCTGGTTATTCACCTATGTGTTTATCAATCCTATGCTGATTACCACTAATGAACCTCAAAGTTAATATTAAACTGTCTTCCTAAGTTTATTTCTCCAATAATTTAAATAGATGTCTTAAAATTCTATATGCATTTCAGTACTTCTAAAATGAGTATAATTCCAACTTAGTTCATCTCGTTTATGAATTTTTCATAAATGAATTTTTGTCTATCAGGAGTTTGTCATTTCAACAGAAACTTTTCTAAAAATATTAGATGATCAAATGAAGTATGTTTTCCTATTTGTCTGTTTAGTATTCATTTTCAATAATGATGAAATATTATCTAGATAGTAAAATGATTATATTCAGTGCAATAGTCCAATAACTTTTAAAATCTTACATTAATCTAAATAACACATATTCATTTTATTTTTAACACAGATTTATTTTCATTGTGTAAGAACTAACTTGTCACCTGATTCCTACCACAAAGATACATCAGAAAATGTGAAAACAGAAGTCAGAATTTTCACCAGAAAAAAATCTTCACAGAGACCCTAGTGGTCCAAGGAAAATCTATCAAGAATACTTTATACCCAATCTGTAATTTTAAGCTGATTTCCCTAAAGTATGTTTCAACAAGCCCTAAAGAAGTAATTACCATGTTACTATACAGAATTACTCCAGGGAAAAGAAATAATGGGAATAGATTCATATTCACTAGGATATGGGATGTCGGCCATGTAACAGCATAATTTGTAATCAGTTTGCATTCATTGTTTGGGTTGTCAAGAGTTGATTCTCACAGGACTGTTGTTTCATTCATTAGAAAGTACCATTTTTTCCAATTGGAGGAATAAAAATCACCATGAAATAAATCTTCAAAAATCCATTATTTTATGTTTTCCAAATTACTTCAATCAGAAGAATTTGTAAATAGCTATTTTTTACAGCAGTTTTGTAAATGTGATGTGACACATACAATTCAGACTGGAGAAGGAATTACAGAAATATCAACATATATAAATTATGTTAAATTTTTATATAAGTATGGATTATTTTATTCCTCATTAGAAAAAATATGATATAGAAACCTTAGAAAAATAAGTAATTTACCAATGTATTATTTACTTGCCAACATATGCAATCGATTAAGATGATGGACAAGGAAAATATGGTCCACATACAAAATGATGTTTTACTCAACTATTTTTGTTGTCTTAAGGAGAATACATGGTATTGAGTTCATCAAGAAAAATGAAATAAACCAGTCTTTCCAGGAAAAGTGTCACATGGTTTCTCTCAGATGCTGACTCTAGGATAGAATTAAAAGATATGAAAGCAAAAAGAGCCATCAGGGATTTGGAGCAAAACTAGAGAATTACATAAAGGAGAATTAAAACCTCAATAATGGAGTGACTATGATCAAGTTATATGCATAGTTAGAAGTGTCAAAGTTCCATTCCATATTATGTGTATGTGTGTATATACACACGTATATATATATATATATATATATATATATATATATATATATATGAACCAGATGCCCCTAAATGGTCCAAAGGATCAAAAATATGGTATACATATACAATGTATTTTTTCTCATCCATTAGCAGGAAAATTATTGTACCATTTATAAAGAAACGGAAAGGCCTGGAAAGTACTGTTCCTGAAGTAAGTCAGACAAAAAAATGCATGCTTACCCTTGTATGTGGAAACTAAATTTAGCTTACTCATTGATAAGTGAATGCATTGAGTGGTATGCAAGTGTATACTAATGTATTAGCTGAAATACAGTAGATTCAAGGGAAAGCTCAAGTATAATTTTTTAGGCAAAGTACCAGAAAGCAGGTACTCGAAAGGGATGGAGTAGGGTCAAGAGGAAAACAGTAGACAAATGAAGAGGAGAAGAGGAGAGAAGCCAGATAATGCAGTCAGAAAATTCAATGCATATCGTAAAAAATTAAGAAAATTGAGGAAAGTGTTGGAGTTGCAAGGGAAAGTTGAGAATGTTGAAAGGGATGACATTGATCAATATATGGTATTCATAAACAACAACTCCTTTGTACAATTACTTAAAGAAAAAAAATTTTAATACATGAAGAAAAATCTGCAACTAGGTACAAGATATAGTACATGTGTTTAAATATCGTTACTTGTGAGGATAATAGAGATACATACGTTCTTCATCAGAGACATCTTCTCCAAAGGAAATATCAGAAGCAAAGGCCTTATAGTGGTCTTTATCTACATGCTTATTCTTAGCATCCCTCTCTCTCATTCACTGCCAATTTCATTCCAAGCTCAATAGCTCTCTAAAGACGTTGCCACTGCTTTGGATTCCATTTCTCCTAGATTCTATTTCTCAATCCAGTAATAGATTAGTTTTTAGACATTGGTATACATTTGAATGTACCAAACTGCCAGCTAAAATGTATATTCAGATATGTTTATACATTACAGCATACATAAACATAGGTATATATGACTCCAATGGAAAAAGACCTGCCTCATGACTCTAGTCCTGCAAATGTAAATGCTCAAGAAGTCAGACATTCCTATAAATCTCTTGCACAGTTGAGTTATGTATGGATATAAACACAATGGATCTATTTGATGTACAAATTGTAAATACTCATTTCTAACAATCTCCAAGGCAGTAATTACATTGCTGATGCATGGAATTGCCTAGGGGAAAGATTTAGAATAAAACACACAAAAAAGTATTCAAATGTTTTTTTTTTCTTTCATGTGATTGTTTCTAACACATTTATAAGATTATTTCTTTGTTGCTTTGTATGTTCCTCCCCCACAGTATAACCCCTGCTTTCACTGTATTTGATATTGGTATAATTTGTGGAGGGGAAGGGGAAAACAAATAGTTTAAATAGGGATAAAGGTGGACCCACAGCAACAATGAGATGTACAAGTCATTATGTCAAAAAATGAACTTTACAGCTTTGGTGTGGGGAGAGGGGGGATCGCTGGGAGGATTGGGTGGGTGGGCAGGGGAAGGATGGGAAAGGATGGGAGGGGAAACAAAGGAGGAGGCTACAATGCTTGATAAGAAATGTACTCATTATCTTGCCCATGTAATTGTAACCCCTCTGTACAGTATTTTCAAAATAAAAAAAATAAAAATTAAACACACACACACACACACACACACACACACACAAAGAGAGAGCCGTGCATTGGTGTCCCATAACTGTAATCCTAGCTACTCAGGTCATTGAATTCTAAGGATTCTGGTTCAGTGCCAGGTTGGACAGACAGACAGACCACGAGACTCTGACCTCCAATTAATTAGCAAAAAAGCCAGAAGTGGAAGTGTGGTTCAAGTGATTGAGCACCAGCCTTGAGCAAAAAAGCCAAATAAAAACTCTTGAGTCCCTGAGCTTAAGCCCAAAGTCGTTATGTTGAAAACAAACTTTACAACTTTGGTGGGGGGGAGAAGGAGGATTGAGTGGGAGAGTGGGGGAAGGGAGGAGGACTGGGTGGGAGATCAAGGGGGAGGATGGGTAGGGGTGGGAAGGGGAAACAAAGGAGGAAGCTAAAATGCTTGATAAGAAAGGTACTCATTATCTTGCCCATGTAATTGTAACCTCTCTGTACAGCATTTTCACAATAAAAAATATTAAAAAAATAACCAACCTCATCTCATTTTATAAGCATTTTTAACTGGGTAACTCAAGATATATTCATGGAGAACACTAAAATTCATCATCCAAGTCCACATGCATTTAGAATAAAATTACAGATATTGTTTCATGAAAACGGGAGTTATTGACATTGTCCTGACAGTATTTCTTCTGAGCACATTCCTCAAGGCCCGCTTTACATCTTTGTTCCTCAGACTATAGATCAACGGATTAAGCACTGGACTCACAAACGTGTAGAAGACAGCTATGATTTTTGATTCCTCAACAGTCTTATCGGTTGGTGGCCTGACATACATGCAAAAGAGTGTCCCGTAAAATAAGGTCACAGCCATCATGTGAGAACCACAGGTGGAGAAAGCCTTGCGCCTTCCCTCTGCTGATTTGATGCGGAGGATGGCAGCGATAATGAAGGCGTAGGACACAAGGATGATGGTGAGGGAAGTAGAGAGGTTGAAGCCAGCCGATATGAGCATGGCATGTTCTTTGACATAAGTGTCAGAGCAGGAGAGCTTAATGAGAGGAGGGTCAGCACAGTAGAAGTGGTTGATCACATTGGACCTACAGAAGGTCAGGCGAAAGGTCAGGATGGCCTGGAAGAGGCCATCTGAGAAGCCATAGACATAAGGAAAACTGGCTAAGCCAAGGCAAACTTGCCTTGACATTTTCACACTGTAGCGTAGAGGGTTGCATATGGCCACATAGCGGTCATAGGCCATGGCTGCAGCATATAGAACTCGGTGAGAAGAAGTGCGATGAAAATGTAACACTGGATAAAGCAGCCCACAAAGGAAATGGTCTTCTTGGCTGATAAGAAATTAGCCAACATCTGTGGGGTGGCGTTGGATGTGTAGCACAAGTCCACAAAGGCCAAGTTCGTGAGGAAGAAGTACATGGGTGTATGAAGGCGAGAGTCTAGTTTGATTAATGTTATCATGCCCAGGTTGCCTAAGAGAGTGAAAAGGTAGACCGCCAGAAACAGCACAAAGAGGACAGGCTGGAGTTCTGGGCGATCTGTGAGCCCTAGCAAGATGAATTCTGTTACCATAGTGCCATTTGTGATGTCCATGTTCTGAGACTCAGGGTCTGTCCTAGAAGCTAGGAAAATCAAGCAGAGATAAGGATATAAATAAGTTACCTTTGCAGTCAGCTTTGACTTGAGAATTTACTGGACTCTTGTTTTCTATTTTTATTAAACCATTATATTACCTTTGTATTTAATATCTATTCTGTTACTCCAATAACTATAGTCACACACATATTCCCACAAGTAAAACTGAGCTACATTTCTATTGTGCTTATATCCTTGATTTCTATTTTTGCCTTCCAACCTAACTATGCTTCAAGGCTCTGTGAATCATTCAGAAACATACTACTTTCACTTTTTAGACTGATTTAATCTCTATGATCTTTGCTTTAAGTATACTCAATATGACTTGTTTATTATTAAAACATTACATCTCAGAAATACTTCTACCATTCACACCAGCTATAGTAGTTCTTTAAGGAAACTGGAACAAAGGCCAGTTGAAAATTAATTATTGATGGTGTGAGTATTCTAAAACAAAGAACACACATAGTAGCACAAAAGCATGAATAATCATTCTTTCTGAAATGGAAAGACTTGGAAAAAATTATAATAAATGAAGTAAGCCAGGCCCAAAGAAACATAGGTTCCATGGTTTACCTTATTTGCAATAACTAGTATATGTCTGAGACAAGCAGAAATGGTCAGATAAGTTGATGTTAAGCGAAATGAACCCCAAGATAAGGGCTCAAATGTTTTTTTTTTCCTTCTTGCTATTGTTTCTAACATATTTATAAGATATTTCTCTGTTGCTTTGTATATCCCTCCCCTTTGTGGAGGGCAAGGGAAAAAATTTGTTTAAATAGGGATACAGATGGACCCATTGCAACAATTAGATATACAAGATGTTATGTAGAAAATGAACTTTACAACTTTGGCAGGACGGGGACCAGGGGGGAAGAGATGGGAAGGGATGGTAAAGGGAAAGAAAGGAGGAGGCAGCAATGCTTGATAAGAAATGCAATCATTATGTTGCCCATGTAATTGGAACCCCTCTGTATGGTATTTTCACAATAAAAAAATAAAAAAAAGTATCAAAAAATTAAGAATTAATCATCAGCAACAGTTAACTTGCATCTGGATGAGGCACTGCATTTGAAAGTAGTGGTTGTTATACCTGTACTCTCTATGTCTCAAATGATTGTGGACATCATGCTAATTAAATAAACATAAAACAAGTCTCGATAGGGATTGCACTGAATTTGTAGATAGCCTTGGGAAGTATTGCCATTTCATGATGTTGATTTTTCCAATCCAGGAGCATGGAAGGATTTTCCACTTTCTAAGTTCTGCTTTGATTTCCTTTATCAGGTTTTTAAAGTTTTCATCATAGAGGTCCTTCACTTCTTTGGTTAAGTTAATTCATAGGTATTTTATTTTTTGTGGGGCTATTACAAATGGAGTTGCTTTCCTGATTTCAGCCATGCTTTTCTCATTGTTGGCGTACAGAAAAGCCGTTGATTATTGAGGGTTAATTTTATACCCTGCTACTTTGCCAAACTTTTGAGTCAGCTTGAGTAATTTGGGACTGGAGTCCATGGGATTTTTTAAATACAAGATCATATCATCTGCAAAGAGGGAGAGTTTTATTTTATCTTTCTCTATTTGGATCCCCTTTATGTTTGTATCTTGTCTTATTGCTATAGCTAGGCATTCTAATACTAAATTGAAGAGAAGTGGGGAGAGTGGACATCTTGTCTCATTCCTGAGTTAAGAGGAAATGGCTTTAGTTTTTCACCATTAAGTATAATGCTGGCTGTAGGTTTGTCATATACAGCCTTTATTGTATTGAGGAATGTTCCATGGATTCCTAGTTTTTCCAGAGCCTTCATCAAAAAGGGGAGTTGGATCTTGTCAAATGCTTTATCTGCAACTATTGAAATAATCATGTAGTTCTTATCTTTGCTCTTGTTGATGTGACAAATTATGTTAATTGATTTGCATATATTGAACTAGCTTTGCATCCCTGAAATGAATCCTGTTTGATAATGATATATGATTTTTTTGATGAGTTGTTGAAGTTGATTGGCCATTTGCATCAATGTTCAAGTAAAGTAAGCCAGGCCCAAAGAAACATAGGTCCTATGGTTTCCCTTATTTGCAGTAACTAATATATGTCTGAGGTAAGCAGAAATGCTCAGATAAGTTGATGTTAGGTGAAATGAACCCCAAGATAAGGATTCAAATGTTTTTTTTTTCTTTCATGCAATTGTTTCTAACATATTTATAAGATGATTTCTTTGTTGCTTTGTATGTCCCTCCCCCATGACATAACCCCTGTTTTCAATGTATTTGATGTTGGTATAATTTGGGGATGGGAAAGGAAAAGACAAATTGTTTAAATAGGGTTACAGGTGGACCCATTGCAACAATGAGATGTACAGGATGTTATTTTGAAATAGAACTTTACAACTTTGGCAGGAGGGAGGGGGTTAGGGGGTGGGAGAGCAGGGATACTAAGGAGAAACAAAGAAGGGGGCAAAATTGATTGATAAGAAATGTACTCATTACCTTGCTCATGTAATTGTAACCCCTCCGTACAGTATTTTCACAACCAAAAAAAAACAACATTAATAGTAGAAAAAAATTAAAAAGAAACAGGTTATAGTTCTCTTTCTTTGATGAATCCCTGCCTGGTTTGGGGGTGAGAGTTATGATGGCTTCATATAAAGAGTTTGGTAGTGAACTTTCAATTTCATTGGAGAGTTGGAGGAGTATTGGTGTGAGTTGTGCTTTGAAGGCCTTGTAGAATTCCGCTGTAAATCCATCCGGTCCTTGGCTTTTCTTAGATGGGAGGTCTCTTATTGTTGTTTCTATTTTGATGCTTGATATGGGTTTGTTAAGTTGGCTTAACTCATCTTGGTTTAGTTTCAGTAAGTTGATATTTGCTAGGAAATCATCTATTTCTTCCAGATTCTCAAACTTATTAGCATAAAGGTTTGAGAAGCATTCCCTTATAATATTCTGAATCTTTTTTTTTTTTCCTGTGGTGCTGTTTCCATTCTCATCTTTGAGTTTGTATATTTGGGTGTGTTCTTTTTCTGTTAAGATTTGCTAAGGATCTGTCAATTTTCTTAATTTTTTCACAGAACTAACTCTTTGTTTTGTTGATTCTTTCTATGGTTTTTCTGGATTCTAATTCATTCAATCTGATTTAATTTTAATTGTTTGTTTCCATCTACTGAATTAGGTTTAACTTGCTGTTCTTTTTCAAGGAGGTTCAGATGTCTTATTAAATTGTTAGTTTCAGATCTCTCCAATTTGTTGATGTAGGAACTCAGAGCTATAAACTTAGCTCTGAGTATTGATAGACAGATACAACCAGAAATTGTACTTGAGTGTAAATTGTTTCATGTTTCATGTAAAGAATCTTCCCCAATGGTATTTTAATCATCATGACCTTGTGTCCTGGGTGTAATCCACACAAAAAATTAAAGTAGATCAGACAGTTAGAATGAAAAAAGGCAAAATGAGATTATAATAACAGCACAAAGAGAGAAAGCCACAAGTCAGACTGATGGACAGTTTTCAGAAGATGAGATCACCTGAGCACAGAGCCTCTGTGCTTGCTAGGTTTTACCAGGTGAGCTTTCTCATAGCAAAAGGAAAAATCAAACATGGGGTAGTTGTAAGACAGAAGAAAGACTGAAAATAATAAGGCCCAAACTGGGACCAAATACATAATATACAATCTAGTACAAAAGAGAAATAGAAGGAGGACTTTGTTCTAAGAATTTCAAATTTCAAACTTTGGCAAGCAGATTATGAAATCATGTGTGGTTTTTTCTGAGTGGAGTCTTGTTCTACTGAATGTATTGTTTATCCATGGCTGTCAGAGCTGACAGTGAGTATAAGGATGGAAAAGTGAGCGTTTAAGTTGCTGGCTCACTTAAAAATAGGAGGAAATAAGTTGGGCACCCTTGGCTCATACCTGTAATACTGGATAGTCAGGAGGCTGAGATCTGAGGATGGGAGCTAGAAGCCAGCCCAGGTAGGAAAGTCCATGAGAGTTTTCTCTCCACTAAACTAAACACAACAACAAAAAGACTGAAGTAAAACTATGGCTCAAGTGGTAGAGCTGTGGTCTTGAGCAAATCAAGGATACTGCCGCGTCACACTGAGTTCCAATCCCTAAGTATACACACATGGGATGTTAATGTGTGTGTGTGTCTATGTGCGTGCGTGCGTGCGTGCGTGCGTGCGTGTGTGTGTGTGTGTGTGTGTGTGTGTGTGTGTGTACATGAAGACTTCCAAAAGAAAGTGCTTCAGCATGTATGATGATGGCCTACAGGGTAAACAATTTCTAAGAGCTAGTTATAAAGATAAATTCTGTAGGCTGTTCAATTACAAATGAATAAGAAAAGTCTCAGAAAAACAGAAGAGTAAAGAAAAGCAACTAATAAGAATTGGTTTTTAGTGTTGGAATTTTTAATTTCTTCATTGATTTGTTTCTATGATTTCCTTTTGGGTACATTTCAAGTAAATTGCTATAACAAAAAATGTGAGTAAAAAGAAACAACAAGGACTTAAGTTTAAGTATCTTAAAAAACACGTCCTATGAAATCAGAGAAAGTGAAGCATTGCAAATAGCTTACTCAATTTATCTAATGTTCATATTGGTAAAATATTGTTTTATATTCTTTTATTTGAAATTTGTTGAAAAATAAAACAAGAATGTGGGGAAAAAGAGAAAATTCCAACAAAATTATAAGCCCTTATTAGAGATGAATGCATTGTTACCTCGTGCTTTGTTTTTCCCTTACCATCCCTTCCCTCCTCACCCCACAAGTTGTAAAGTTCATTTTCAACACAGTGTCTTGTACATCTCGTGGTTACAATGGGTCAACCTGTATCCTTATTTCAGCATTTTGTTATTTCCCTTGCCCTCCCCAAATTAGAAAAATGTATGTTCAAGATTCAGGGCACCGACATAAAATACAGTAAATAGAGGAGTTATACTGTGGGGGAAGAGCATACAAGAG